TGGCTACCCTGGAACTCCCTATATAGATTCAAACTCACAGAGATCCACCTGACTCTGTCTCTTAAGTTGCTGAGACTAAAGGCGTGCACCACCGTGTCCAGTCTGTTGATTCTGTTTGTGTTTGTTTGTTTTTGTTAGTGTTCTGTCGCTGTGACGAGACACCGCAATAAAAAAGTGTTTAGTTGCAGGCTCACTCACAGTTTCAGAGGGTTGGTCTGCCAAAAACTTGGGGATTTTTTCCCTCCTCTGACATGGCCCCTGGCATCAGTCCGTTATCATCACGGTGGGGATCATGGCAGCAGGAATGTTGCTAGCGAAGTAGCTGAGAGCTACATCCTGGCCACAGGCAGCAGGCAGAGAGAGCCACTGGGCCTGGTGCTTTTGAAACCTCTAAGCCCACTCCCAGTGACACACCTGCCCCAACAAGGCCGCACCTCTTCCAAGGCCACACCTCCTAATTCTTTCCAAATAGTTCATCAACTGGTGACCAAGCATTCAAATACATGAGCCTAGGGGGGCCATTCTCATTCAAAACACCACACAGTTATTTTTTATTCTTCTGTTAATTCTTTTTTTTAAAGATTTATTTATTTATTGTGTGTGTATGGGTGCTTTGCCTGTATATATGTCTGTGTACCATGTGCATGCTGCCCAAAGAGGCCCGGAGAGGGGGATGAAATCCCTGGGACTAGAGTTACAGCTGTTTGTGAATCACCATGTGGTGCTGGTAATCCAAGCCAAGTCCTCTGGAAGAACAGTCAGTGCTCTTAACCTCTGAGCCATCTCTCCAGCCCTGTATTAACTCTTAAGGGAAGAGACAATAGTATGCACTGTTCTGTTCTTTGGAGCACATCAGAATGTCATGTCCCTACCTGGGGTCAGAACTATTCCATTGATTTGATCAGGAGGCCTACGGTGTGACAGAGATGACAGTCATTTTTCTAATGTCACTACAGAAGCCAGAGATGAGTTATTAGTGTCTTCCTCTGCAGGGTCTGTGTAGAAAAGCAGGTAGGGACAATCCATAATATGTTTTATAAGTTTGGTCTAATGAAGAGGTGGGCTTATCAGTTTATATTACAGAAGGAACAGGTCTCTGCACTCTTAAATCTAGAGCCTATATAGTAGTTAGGAAAGATGAGGTCCCTTAAGTTTAGTAACAAGATGCTTAAACAGGTCGCATGAGATTAGGCCTCAGGAAAGAAGTCATAAATAATTCATATTGGTCATATAAACACTGATCTGACTGATGTGTAGGTTTGTCTTATTCTAGGAAGCACCTCATTCTCCCAGTTCAACAGCACAGTTATCCTGTAAGCATTTTAGCTGAGGAAGCCCTAATAGCTTTTAATTGTCTGGCCTATACCTGCTAATCAATGGTAGACCAAAGTTCTGTTTGTTTGAGACAGGGTCTCTCTTTTCATCAGTGTTCTGTTGCTGTGAAGAGACACAATGTCCACTGCAACACTTATAAAGCAAAGCATTTAATTGGGGCTTGCTTACTGTTTCAGAGGTTTAGTCCACTGTCATCATGGCAGGTAGCAAGGCAGCACACAGGCTGACAAAGTGCTGGAGAAGTAGCTGAGCGTTCTATATCTGGATCCTTAGGCAGTTGGAAGAGAGAGACACTGGGTCTGGCTTGAACTTTTGAAACCTCAAAGCCCGCCTCCACTGATGCACTTCCCTGAGGCAATGAGGCCACACCTACTGCAACAAGGTCACATCTTCCTAATCCCTCTCAAGTGATGCTACTCCCTGCTGATCAAGAATTCAAACATATGAGCCTATGAGGGGCATTCTTATTCAAACTGCCACAGTCTCACTGTGAAGCCCTGGCTGGCTTGGAATTCACTTTTTAGACTGGGCTGGCCTGAAACTCATAGAGATCCACTGACTCTGCCTCCCCAGTACTGAGATTAAAGGTGAGCACCACCACTTCCAGCATTGTATTTTTAATTTAAAAGAACCTATTAAAATCCCACGTGGCTTCAGAGTTTGGGTCTGGTTGAGATAGCAGTAACAATATTTTTGGTTGTGAGCCTCGCCTTTAACGGCTGAGCCATCTCTCCAGCCCAGCAGTAACAATATTAAAAGAAGGTAGGGATTGGGTTGATGAGATGGCTCAGCAGGTAATGCCCATGGATCTGAGTTCAATTCCCAGGTCCCACACAGCGGAAGAAGTAAACTGATTCTCGGAAGTTTTTCTCTGACCACACATATTCACAGATATACATAAGTAAATGTAATAAAAATATTTTAAGGCGCAAAGCTACACAGAGAAACCCTGTCTCGAAAAACAAAAAAAAAATATTTTAAAAGAAGGTGGGGATAATTTAGACTGCAGGCTGGGGAGGGGCATCTGTGGTTTCCCGCTCATTGTCATCTTTGTCACAGAAGCAGCACGTAGGGACAGTACAGCTACAGCCACCTTCTCTTCCCAAGGAGCAGGCTCCTGGCCTCCTGTCTGGTCTTCCTTGGGATCTGTTATTCATGGGCCAGGCCAGGGAGGGAGAGGCTGCCTCCCGAGAGCTCTCCAACCGAACGGGTTAGTCAGTCTGCCAGCTGTCAGCCATAGGCATCGGAATGAGAAATGATCAGAAAGTACTGAGGGAAATTTTTTAGCAGTAAGATAGGAAAAATGTATTTTCTCACATGATGGCTTGCTTGGCCAAAAAAGAAAAAGAAAAAACAAGAAAACAAAAGTTACCACTTGTCAGGGTGTTAATATTCTGATTTGCCCCTTGAAATTCCGCCCCTTGGGGCCACCCTGCATCCTGATGTAAAGGAAAAAAAAAATCCCTCCCCTCCCCCCCCTCTCTCTCTCCCACGAGGTGTGGGTCCCTCAACACCCCCCTCCTTCTCCCTCTCTCTCTTCTCTCTCTTTCCTCTCTTCTCTCCGATGCTCTATTATAATAAAGCCTTTCCTCATGGATGCAGCATCTGGTTTGTGAATGTCCACCCACCACCCCATTGCCATGCCCTCATGGTGTGGGTCGCCTGACAGCCCATTGCTGTATCTGCCCAGCATGCCAGCATGTTTCCCTGCACACAAGGGATACCCTCGAGGTCCTCTGTGTATAATTTATAACACAGGTTCTAGCGTGGGTGGGTGATCCAAGGTCCCCCATGTCTTCTTCAAAGCATTGAAATAATCACATGGGGATCACAATATAGCAAAAATACTTTATTCAAAGCAAAGTGGTAGTACTGATTAGAAAGGAACACACTGTCAAGATTAATATGTGGGTGGGGAGAGTTGGAGAGGTGGCTCCGAGTTAAGAGCACTTGCTGTTCTTCCAGAGGACCAGAGTTTAGTTCCCAATGCCCATGCCAGGTGGCCCTCAATGACTGGAACTACAGTTCCGGAGGCTCCCACATCCTCTCTTGGCCTTTTTGGGCACCTGCACATATGTGACACACATGTGCATATGTGTGTGTGTGTACATACACACATAGAAGAAAAAAATCTTTGAAAAAAAAGATATCTCAGTTTCCATGAGTGAATGAGTGAAGTACTCAAGAAACTCAGATTATTGGTCGTGGCTTCCTTGGATGGGGTGCCAGAGAAGGCTGGGTTCTGTGATGGCCATTCCTGGTTGTCAACTTGACTATGTCTGGAACGGACTATAATCCTGAAATGGAGGACACACTTGCGATCTAGACCTTGAGGCAAAAAGACAAAATGCCTTTGATCTTGAGGCTGGAAGGTGAAACTTTAACCTGGGCCACACCTTCTGCCAGAAGGACAACAGACAATGGACAAAGGACAGGGGTATGTTCATCCTTCGCCTGCTTGCCCTGAACTTGTCAGCCCGTACATCCACTCTTTATCTGGCACTGGAACCTACTTCTTGGGGATTCCAGCATGTACAGAAGACCAGCTAAGACACCCAGCCTCCTGCGACTGAGCAACTCTAGATTCTTGGACTTTCCATTTACAGCTAGCCATTGTTGGACTGCAGCCTGTAAGTCATTCCAATAAATTCCCCTACATAGAGAGAAAGAGAGAGATTCATTCCATAAGTTCTTTGATTCTAGAGAACCCTGACTAATACAGTTCCTAAAGGGGCATTGTAGTTGGTTCTATTTTTGTTGAAAGATCAATTTACATAAATTACATATGCATGAAAATTATGCATAGGAATATCATCACTGGCAAGGGAATCTCCAAAACCACTCACTTAGATGACTCAATGCCTTATTTCCAACCTGAAAGAGTCTAGGTTGGATCAGCCCACTGTACACAGTTTTCAGTTGCCTAGAAGATGCTAAGAGGAGAAATCAATTGCCTAGTTTAGTGCAGTCCTAAGCACAGTTAGTGTTGGTCATAATTCCTGGATTGCTAACAGGTTGCTAGGCCATTTCTTTTTTTCTTTTTTTCTTTTCTTTTGGAGCGAGGGATGAAATCTATAGCTCTAGCCAAGTGCAGTCTCAGATTGCGAAAATAATTGCTATGTTCAAAGAGCTAATAACACAAAAACCTTAGTCCTTCGAGAGATCAATAGCACCTATGTTGCCCTAAGTTTCCTCCACCTGCACCTGCCCACTCTGATTCAAATAACAATTAACACTTTGTATTAATTCTACACCAGTTTTTAATGCAAGAGTTTAGGTTCTCAGATTCAGGTGACTAACAGAAAAAGGCTGTTAACTGACTAACCGTGTCTGGATATTATTAATCACATAAAATAGCACACACATTCTTTGTCTTTTCCTTACACCTGTCATTGGTTTAATTTCTTTCCTTGTAACCTTGTAGCGATCCCTTTAAGAGATAGCCAGAATGTTCTACAATCTACAGCTGTTGTCAGTCACCAATGAAGCTGACCAAGTCTTTGCTAAGTGTGACTCTTCTCAGAATACTTGTCCCTGAGGGTTGACTTTGTAGTTTTTATAACAAGTTGTTAATGAATGGATACACACACACACACACACACACACACACACACACATTCATGCTTGGGGGAACAAAGAAAAAAAGATGGGAAGAACTAGGTTGAATAATGAGAGAACAGCAGAAGGGACTGAGAGGAGCTAAGCATGAGCACAGAGAAGCAGCTATGCAGATGGAATTTGACACAGAAGAATAAAGTGGCTGGACTAAAGAACTCGGTGTGCTCAGACTCATTTACTGGCCCTCAGATCAATCTCCTAGCCACGTGTAGTTTCTGTTCTGGACCCTGGTAGAAATCTCCTCAGGGCAGGCTCTGAGGAGTTCTTGAATCTAAAACAGACTTCAAACGCTCTTCTATACTCTGCTTCACCAGAGAAGAGAAAACAGACAGTGCTGGTCCTGGAAGAAAGCTCTGAGAATGCCCTGCCAACCCTGCGATTCCAGCAGTGGCCAGGAGCCCTTCAAGCTTTTGCTGTCTCTTTGGAGCCAGCTGGAACAGCTGACACACAAACTGTGTCTTTTTCTCCAGGCTCATTTCCACACAATGGCTACCAGTGTTGTTTTGTCTTATTGATTTTACCATTACTAATACTGTAGGGGGTGAAAACAAGAGGACAGGAGCACAGAGGTCACAGCGCACATGTGAAGGTCAAAAGACAACTTTTCAACTCTCGCCTACCTCTGGGAGTTCCTGAGAACTAACTCAGCCTTTCAGGCTTGTGTGACAAGCCCTGTTATATTCAGTCATCTGGTCCTTCCAGTACGAGTTCTTAGGGTCAAAGCCTCTGTGCGGGCATCCCTAACAAGCCAGGCCAGGCCAACCATCCTGTGACTCCCCAGAGAACTCCCTCCATCACACCCAGTGATCAGCCTCCAGGGCTCACTTCTCACCACGCCTGTGCCCTCCATATACCATATCTTCCCAGATACTGACATTCTTAACATCATCAGACATGGGCCCAAGGCCTCCCTCAGAATGTAGGTCAGCCCAGGTCACAAGCATCTTCCTTCTAGCCCCGCCCACTGCATCATAGACAGGCAGGGGAGCTAAATTGTGACTCGCCACAGAGTTCATTTTCTTCAAACCCAGGGCAACAGTGAGTGTTGACGGCAGAGGCTGGTGAACTTCGAAGGGTATTTATCTCAGAGACAGATTGTGCCAAAGATATCTTGTAGAGAGAGAGTGCGGGATCGATCAGTGACAAAGTCCTTGTCTCAGGAGCGTGAGAGGGAAAATGAATGGCCAAGCGCTTGGCTCACACAGAAGACTGGATATTATTGAAAGCACCCCAAGGTTGAGCAGCCCTGCATTTTGGTCAACCACTAGGGCACATTTTGCTTCTCAGGAAGTTAAAAACCTCCGAATCTCCCAATCCAAGAGTAGAAGTTTAGGTGCTCCATGGGTTAGCCAAGGAGATTCACTTCCCCTTTTCCAGAAACCAAAGAAAGGAGAACATCACCGCCTACAAGTATGCTCTGCAGGTGAGTGCTGGGACCCCGCCACTGAAGGCTCTTCCTTATTGCCCATCACAGAGATGTTACCAAGTGGCTTTGTTAAACGTCTGGAGTTAGGGACCAGAAGAGGCACCTGTACAAATCCAAAGGAGGCATGGACAGAGAAAAATCTTGAGGCAACAGCATCAACAGAGACCCAGGGGAAAGGGAGGCCAATGGTCTTCCCTAATCAGGTGAATAATCAAGGACAAAAACCTCAAAACCCACAAGGTCAGGGTCATAAGGACCTGTGGAAGGACATAATCATAAGATATGGCATTGTATCACCAAGGAGAGGCCTACACATGGTGTCCCAATATCCCAAACTAACTGGTAATCTTGAAGGACACGTCCTGGAGGGAAGAAAGATCCACCTGAAATCAAGGCAGGGAAGGTTGTCCCCTTGTAGTTTGGAGGAGAGCCAGGAGGAAGAAGTACAGACACCCAAGAAGGGGAAAGCTAAGGGTAAGAGAGCTAAGAAAAAGGAGGCTCAGAACCAGTTCTCAAGAGAAAAGGCATTCCTCCAGAGAAAACTGGAGGAGCTGGGCCCAATGCCTGTGGCAGGAGTTAGTCTGCTGGACAAGAGAAAGACCCAGGCCTTGGAACTGCCAGCCCAAGCCCATCATTTGAAGTCAGTCCCCAGAGCACACAGAGGGGATCTACAGCCATTGGATCAGGAGGACAACAATAAGGAGACCACAAGAAAACCGTCAAAAATGGAGAAAAGAAAGCTAAGGATGGAGTGGTGGGATCCCACAGTCTGGGGTGGCCCAGTCACAATGGCTGATCGTGAACAATCTCCTCGAAAAACCTGTTCAGAATTCCACGGTGACCCAAGGAAGCTGAGCTTCCCCACAGGCAAACTGTATTATCAAAACACTATTTTTGTTTCTCCAGAACATTAAAGGTCTTCGTTAAGGCCCAAGACTGTGGTTTCTGGCCAGGGCTATAGTCTGCTGAAATCCAAAGGTCTCCCAGACAACTCCTACAGGGCATCCTCCCTTTCTCCTCCTGTCTCTCCTGGTTGGCCCTCCTGAGACTGTCCATCATCTCTCTAGGGATTTCCTGGGACATCACTCTGGTGAGTCTTCCCTTATCCTTATCCGTTGGCCTCAGATGAGGACACCCCACTCCTGAAGTCCCTTCAAAAAGGTTTTTCTAAAAGTTGGCCCTCCAGTGCCTGGTGGGTACCCCAGGCTAGAAGATCCTTTGTGTGAGGTGGGACACTCTCACCAAAGTTGCCCTGGGAGGTCCTTCTGAGGGGAGGGAAATGTCCCTCAGCAGCTGCCCTTGAATCCTGTTACTGGTACCCAAGGTCCAGCACCAGATCCCTTGAAGCTGCTCCATCTCTGGAGGGCTTCTCTGGAACATTTTTTGGCAGCTGTGATCTCTCGTGTCTGGACTGAAATCCTTTGGTCCAGTGTCTGGAGATCCTTTGAGGAAAAGAATGCCTATTCTGAAGCTGGACCTTGAGACCTTTAGCAACATTTTAAGACCCTGTTCCTGTGGAAGGATGTCCTGTCAGGAATGACCATCTTTGACCCTCTGTCTCTACAAGACACAGGTCCCTGGGATCCCTTCAGTCATTGTTCTGATTTATTGTGAAGGACCGGGATGAGTTTGATTCTCAGTTCCTGATGAAAGTGATGATTTTCTTTCAGGTCTTTGGCTCTCAGTGTAACCGGCGCCTCTTTTCCTCATTCCTTCTGGACCCTCTCTCAAATGCCTGGTTGTGGACTCTGGTGGATATCTCAGCAAAGGCTGCAGCAGGGCCATGGCAGGGCAGAGCCCGGAAGACAGAATTCTCAGTTGTTTACACTGTTTGTCGGTCTCTCCATGAGCAGACTGCAGAGTCAGGTCTGCTTGGCCACTCTGAGGCCTTAGGAAACCAGACTGATGACGTGGTGCTAATGAGTCCCCCGACCAAGGGCTGTGGCTGCTGAAGCTTGGTTACTACTGCATTTGGAGGAGGCCAGTGCCTTAATGCCACCCAGGAGCGTGGAGTGGATGGACACACCAGGGGCAACACAGCACAGGTGGTGTCCTGGGCCACCTCAGGCTGAAGAAGCTCCCTGTCCTGGCTTTTAGCTTGAAGTGATGGAGCACTTTGCAAACCCAATGGGGTAAAAAAAAAAAAAAGAAAAAAAAAAGAAAAGGAAAAAGAAAAAGAAAAGCTGAGAGCACTGCCCATATGCATTCGGGCAGGAAGCGTGCCTTAGGCAGAGGTGGTCATGGGTCAGTTGCATCTACCCACTCCCACTGACCCCACGAAGCCAGGGATCTACCAGCTGTGATGACGGAGGCAGCTCAGGCAGTGGATGGATGAAGAGCTGAGACTGTGGCAGGCCAGCTCCTCACGGTGAGGGGCGCAGGAAGGAATGGACGTGGACACTGCTTGTTTCAGAAGGAAATGGTAGAATGCCAGGGCGTGGCCATCAGGGGATTCTTCTAAACAACTCAAGTAGGTTGACTCCTAAGTCTTTTGCCCTGCCAGCCCTTTGCTTTGGGGAGTCTCTTGGGAGGCTGCTTACCTTGGGGTGGGGTAAGTTTGACCGTTAGTCACTTTCTATGGCTCCCTTTGAAAGGTGGCCTGGGCTCCACATGCATATTTTTGTGTGCAATCACTGATGGACTATTATTATAATTATTATTATTATTATTATTATTATTATTATTATTATTATTATTATCATTTTTATTTTTGGTTTTTTGAGACAGAGTTTCTCTGTGTAGCCTTAGCTGTCCTAAAACTATGTATACCAGACTGGCCTCGAACTTGCAAAGATCTGCCTGCCTTTGCCTCCGAGTACTGGGATTAAAGGCGTGTGCCGCCGCCGCCGCCGCCGCCGCCGCCGCCGCCGCCGCCACCACCACCCAGCTATGATGGACTATTTTTAATATTATTAGTTGGATAAAGGTCTATCTGTTATACACACACACACAAATTAAGTTTTATGTATATACATAACTTAATTTGTGTGTGTGTGTGTGTGTGTGTGTGTGTATGTGTATGTTTTACCTACATATATGTCAGTACCATAGTACCATGTGTATTCCTGGGTCCCATGGGGGCTAGAAGAGGTCTTTGGATTTCCCAGAACTGTAGTTATAGACTGTAGTGAGTGTCATGTGGCTGCTGGGAATCTAACACAGGTCCTCTGGCAGAACAGCTCTTAACCACCGAGAGCCTTTCCTGTCGCCCTTAGTCAGACTTACACTAACATGATATCTTACTTTGTGTTTTTAGGTGTCATAGATTGGGCATGTTGATTCTGTAGCAAACCTGGGTATGGAGACTTGGTGACATAGTGTTCTGTGTGGACCTCGTACTTGACCAGAGGGTTTTTTGATGGAATCTGCTTGTATCCCAGGCCTGAAATTTGGAATCTTTCAGAATTCATTTTTAATAAATCATTTTGTAAGACAGTATGAGTGTACCAGTTTGTTTTCTCATATCAATTTCTTAGTGTTTGAAGGATAATTTTTTCCTGCTAACTCTTTTTTTTTAATGTTTTTTTTTTCTGTTGTTCATTTTTATTCCTCAGTTAATTCTTTTTTTTTTTTTATGACAGGTCCCTATGAAGCCTAGCCTGTCACTGAATGGGATATATGTCTATGTAGTTGTGGATGATTTTGGCCTCCTGATCCTCCTGACCCCACCTACCAAGTGCCAGGACACTGAGCTGTGCCACCTTGCCCACTTTCTCTGATTCTGGAGGTGGAACCCGGGCTTTCTTGCGTGGCATGCCAACACCCTTCCCACTACACCACATGCCCAGCAACCTGTCTGGTAATTCTCGCCTTTCTGCATTTACACAGCTGCCAGGGTAAGAGCCTGGTTCCTGGCACCCCTGATAAGCCAGTCTTAACACCCTGTCCTCAGCAAACCAAAAGACACAGTGAAGTGAAGAGAAGAAAAAAAAAACAAACTCCTTTTCAAGTGTCAGCACTGAGGAGACAGGGACACAACTCCACCGTCACCCTCAGCAGCCCGGGGACGTCCCCTAGAGCCGTGCTCTCAGCCTCGTAACGCTGCGACCCTTTAATACGGTTCCTCATGGTGTGATGACCCCCCCAACCATGAAATTATCTTCATTGATACTTCAAAACTGTAATTTCGCTACTGTTATGAATTATATGGCGAATATTTTTGGAGATAGAGGTTTTGTCAAGGGGGTCATGACCCACAGGTTGAGAACCATTGTCCTAGATTTTTGGGGACCTAGAAGTTTGTGGATTGCCGCTGACATTCAGGATTAGCTAGCGTTATGAGCTTGAAGATTTTTAAAGACTTGTGTATTTTAAAGATTTATTTATTTTATGTGCACAAGTATTTTACCCGCATGTAGGTATATGTACCATGTACACAGCTGGTGTGGGAGGAGGTCAGAAGACGACCTTGGATCCCTGGAACGGGAGTTACAGCTGGTTGTGGGTTTCCATGTAGGTGCTGGGAACTGAGTCTTCTGCAAGGGCAGTAGTATACTCTTTACCTTTGAGCCATCTCTCCAGCCCCCCACTAAAAGATACTTGAATATAGGCTTCCTCTGCTCCCTACATTCCTAAGGGTCTTTCTCTTAACCCTCAAGCCCCAACTGAACTGAACATGTGCTGTTGATGTGTGCATGACTAAGACCCATGGGAAAATAGCTGCCACCACTCCCCATGGGACTCAGAGGGATGGCCAAGGCTTTCGCTGGTCTAGGTGTGGACATTGACAGTGTGTGCAGAAAATGTCCACCATAACTTTCTCACTCTCCCGCCCCCCAGACATAGTTTCTCTGTGTAGCTTTGGAGTCTGTCCTGAAACTCACTCTGTAGGCCAGGTTGGCCTCGAACTCACAGAGATCTGCCCGCCTCTGCCTCCCGAGTGCTGGGATTAAAGGCATGTGCCACCGTGCCTGGCCAGCTTTCTCCCTCTTGACTGGGGCCTGAAGACAGCTACCCCACAGAGACTGCTCTGCTCCCACCCTACATTAGCTAGATTCTCTCCTTGACCAGACGTATACCATAAACCCCGCCTTCTTGTTCAGCTGTATGCAATAACTCCACCTCCCTGTTCCACTCTATGTATTAAACACAATGAACCTCTGAGGTGGTCTGGTTTTATCAGAAAATCCGGACCACCCGATCCCAGCCTTTCTGTGTGTCTGTCTGTGTTTGTCATTTTTTTTTTCCTTACCACCCTGAGTCAGGTCCAAGTTCCTGGAACTATGCAAGGACTCACCACAGAACAAGGAATGATGCACGAATCCCAAGCGATAGCAGGTAAAAAAAAGGCTTTCCCAAGCAGGGGTGCAGTCTCTGAGAGGGACAATAAGCATCAGTTGTCTTATCAGCTGTATATATCCTTTCGGTGACTCTCAAACCTCAAAAGTCTGCTAAGAAGTCGTTTTTCCTTTCTCCCATGAAGTGGTTCCAGAGCTGCCTTGGATGAACTGACAACCTTAGTCAGGGAAAGCTGAGACACCAGTGCCGCACAAGGGGCTTAGAATGTCCTTTCCGTGGAGGCGGGTCTCTGGTGAGGTTTCTAGAAAAGTGCAGGCTTATGGTGATTTTATAGCTCGAAGGCAGAAAGGCCTTTGGCAGCAGTTGACTCTGCTAGAATTCCTGCTCAGTTCTTGGCAGAGGCTTCTACTGATGCCAGAGCCAGGGCTTCTCATGTGCACTGCCCTTCACTCCTATCTCAGACTGGCTGCACTGGGAACACAGTCAAAGAGATGTAAGGACTGCCTGTGTTAGTTGTTTCTCTATGGCTGTGATGAAACACCACGACCAAGGCAACTTAGAGAAGAAAGAGTTTATTCTGGATGTAAGTTTCAGAGGGTTGGAGTCCATGAAGTGGCAGCTGAGAACTCACATCTTGACTTACAATCAAGAGGCAGAGAGAGCTAGAGTCTGGTATGAGTCTTTTGATATCAAAGCATGTCCCTAGTGATATACTTCCTCTAGCAAGGAAATTTCAAAACAGCCTAGTATAGACTCTGTTGTGTGGTTATTAGTTTTAACTCTAATGAAGATTTATAATGAAAAGGAGCAAGCTGAGCAAGGAAAAATATTTGAAGAAAAAAGTGAATGGAATTCACCAGAAAGTGAATGGAGCTAAGTCCTGTGTTCAAGGAGATAAACAGATTAAGAAATGGAATAAAGGGAATGGTGACCTCAGGGCAAGATCCCACCCAGCTAAGTTTCCAACTTGTGAAAAGGAGTTAAAGAAAATCTTAGACCTTGGTGGTGAGCATATCTTTAATGTCAGCGTTCTGAAGGCAGAGGCTGGCAGATCTCTGGGTTAGAAGGGGCCAGCCTGAACTATAGAACAAGTTTAGGCAATGAAGGAAACCATCAAAAACAGAAAGCTAGTGAAGATGTAATTGAACAAGGGGGTCATGGTCCAGCCCCAGTAAGCAGCAGAACTGGGCAACTTTGGCCACATAGTTCTGGAGTTAAGGATAGAAGAAAGTGTTGTTGGACTTTCTTTGGACTGCCAGCCCCCAAAGAATGACACAGAGACTTATTAATTATAAAAGCTTGGCCCTTAGCTTAGGCTTGTCTCACTATCCCTTATAACTTAAATTAACCAATTTCTATTAATCTATGTTCTATAATGTGGCTTTTTTATCTTTCCTTCATTGTGTACATCTGACCTCTTCAGTGTCTTGCTGGCATCTCCCTTGTGCCTAGATTCTAACCCTAGGTTCCTCTCTCTGCCTGGAAGTCCGGCCTAACCACTCCTCCCTAGCTATTGGCCATTCAACTCTTTATTAAACCAATCAGAAGGTACCTTAGGCAGAGACACATCTTTACAATGTACATAAGGTTTATCCCACAACAAGAAAGGGGCTATGGAATTTGCCTTCCCAACTAAGGAAAGCCATTGAGGCCAGGCATGTGTCAGGGGTGTCCCTGAATGGAGGCTTAGAGAGGCCATTGCATGAAGCTGTGAGGTTGAAGCCTGGATTGCCTTGGAGACCCCAAGATGTTCAAGATGCCAGAGCTGTGGGATATCTGCCGAAGAGAGCTGATAAAAAGGAGTGGAACCAGCCCAAAAGAAAGAAGTGTGTTGCAGTCAACAAAGCTGAAAAGAGTTGGAGATCTGAAAAGCACTTTGACCATGGAGATGCAGAGTTTGGAATTTGCCCAGCTGGTTTTTGGTCTTGCTTTGGTCCAGTATTTCCTCACTATGTTCCCTTCCCTATATTTGGAATGATGTGATCTACTTTTTGGTTTTGATTTTACAGGGAATTACAGTTAAGAGATTGCATGAGTCTCAAAAGAGACTTTGAACTTTAGACTTTTAAATAAGTTTGAGACTGTTATAGACTATGGGGACTTTTGAAGTAAGACTGAATGCATTTATTTTTTATTTTTGTTTCATGAACACTGGTTTACCTGTATGAGGGTATTGGATCCTGGAACTGGAGTTATAGACAGTTGTGAGATGCCATGTGGGTGCTGGAAATTGAACCCGAGTCCTCTGGAAGAACAGCCAGTACTTTTAACTACTGAGCCACAGCCTTTGAGGGCCAAGGAGTAGAATATGGTGGTTTGAAAGAAAACCAAAAGCGAGTGGCACTATTAGGAGTTGAGGCCTTGTTGGAGTAGGTGTGGTCTTATTGGAGGAAGTGTGTCACTGTGGGGGTGGGCTTTGAGGTCTCCTACGCCCAAGATCCTGCCCAGTGTGACAGACCACTTCCCGTTGCCTGCCTATCAAAAATGTAGGACTCTGATCTCCCAGCACCATGTCTGCCTGCATGCCACCATGTCACACCATGATGAACATGGATTAAAACTCTGAAAATGTAAGCCACCACAATTAAATGTTTTTCCTTTATAAGAGTTGCTGTGGTATGGTGTCTCTTCATAGCGGTAGAAACCCTAAGTAAGACAGTTACTTTTGAGCACATCATGAGGAGTCTGCATGTCTTATGTATGTTCCCTGGGTACAATCAGAAAGGTGACCATGCTTTACTCATAAAAAAAAAAATAGGGGAATGGCCCCACTCATGAGCCTTACACTTACTCCCTTCATCTAGCTTCGGCCTGTCTAACATCCGCACTTGAGAGAATTCCTACAGATGGAGGCGATGGCTCATCTGACTGCTTCTTGTTGATAGCGGATGATGGAAAAAGCTGCCAGTTGACCTGGAGGCCTGTGGCAGAAACTGGGAGGAATTTCCGTATCTGGTTCCATTTGTCAAGCTGTCTACAATGGACAAAGCTAGCTGTCAGGTGGAGTGCAAACACGTATTTGCCAGCGGGTCTAGGAAAGACGGGTCCAGTTAGCTTTGGGACCAAGGAAGATGCGGAGGACTTTTCAGGGCTGAATGTGTTCCTTCCATTGCAATATGAAGAGATCTGACTATGAAATGACTGCCCCCTTTTAAAATAGATTATGGAATAATGGAGAAGTCTTATTTTCAGAAGGAGCTGGGAGGTCACGACAGATAGAGCAAATCTAGGCAATCCACAAGATAAGCCCCAAGTAAAAATCTCCTCAATCCTATTTGAAGTAGTTATCCACACCAAGGAGCTACAGGATTGAAGATGTAGCAGATGAAGCCATAAGGTAGGGGTAAGAAAATGAGAAAAAGGTCATGGGCTGGAGAGAGATCGTTCAGAGGTTAAGAGCACTGGCTGTTCTTCCAGAGGACCCGGGGTTCAATTCCCACCAACCACATGGTGGCTCATAACCATCTATATTGAGCTCTAGTGCCCTCTTCTGGCTTGTAGGCATACACACAGGCAGAACACCATATACATAATAAATAAATAAATCTTAAAATATATAATATATATAAATTTATTGCCGGGTGGTGGTGGTGCACACCTTTAATCCCAGCACTTGGGAGGCAGAGCCAGGCAGATCTCTGTGAGTTTGAGGCCAGCCTGGTCTACAGAGTGAGATCTAGAATAGAAACCAAAACTACACAGAGAAACCCTGGCAAAAAAAAAAGAAAGAAAGAAAGAAAGAAAGAAAGAAAGAAAGAAAGAAAGAAAGAAAGAAAGAAAGAAAGAAAGAAAGAAAGAAAGAAAGAAAGAA